CCACCTGGGGAAGGGCGAGCGGCGCTGGATGGCGGCACCGGGGCACCGGCACCGCCCGGGGACACGCGGGGGCTGAGCTGGCACAGTGTGTGTCACACCTGCCCCCAGCCACGGTGAGCGACTGCGCAGGAGCTCTAGTCACCGCACACATGGGGAGCGGTAAGAAATTTGTAAAGAATAAGTTTTGAGCTCCAAACCCTAGAAAACAGGCAGAATGTCCTGTTCAAGAGAAAGTCTGGGGTTGTGCTGAGGATGAGTTGTGGGACAGCCTGGCAAAGAGACTCGGCGATTAACTAACTTGGTAACAGAACTAACTTCTGCATGGCCAGCAGGTGAACAACTTTCATTATAATATTAAAAAAAAAAAAGGGGGAAAAAAAGGCCCCTGCGCGGGTTAAGACCCTTCCCCTGGGCATGGGGGGCAGCAGAAGCATTATTTAGTGCTAATTGTATGTTAATCACTAAGCAATCAGGGTCTAACAGGCGCGTTCTGAAAATTCCCAAACTCTGAGTTTTGTGCCTAAAAGGAGCGTGAAAACCTGTTGGCGGGGCGGTGCTTGGTTTGTGGGAGATTCCCCCCCAGTCCTGGACAGACACAACCACCCCCCCCAGAGCGCTCGGATCACAGCCCGGGCACGAAGCTGCTGTTGGGGGAGATCGGAGGGAGCGGGAGAACTCGAGCGCAGGGCTCAGAGTCCTTCCCGGCAGCGCAGGGGACTCTCCCCGGCAAAGTGGGGGCCCTGCTGAGGGAAGAGCCTCACCCCCCCCCAAGCACTGACCTGTAGCCCTCGAGGCAGCCCTGGGAGAGCTTCTGGCAGAGGCGCTGGGCGGCCGGCAGGACGCCCGAGGAGCGGAGCAGGCGGGCGCAGGAGGAGGCTGGAAGAGAGGAGAACCGCTCCCTGAGCGACCCCTCAGCTCCGTCTGGCCCCGGGGCCTCTCCCCAGGGACACAACACCTCTGAAAAATGGCTCCAAGATGGGACAGAATGCGGCAGGAGCTCCCAAGCAGAGAGAAAACCTGGGTTAGGGCAGCCCGGGGGGAAACGCCCCGCCAAGAGGGGCTGGGCGGGGGGTCTGTCTGCAGCGCCAGCAGGAGGAATTGATGCCTCAAACGTTGACGGGCACAGAAACCCCCAAGGAGAAGCTGCAGCCGTTGTGATGAGTCTAAGGAACGTCCCCCAGGGAAGCGGGAGCGTATGGAAGGCTGCACCCCCCTGCTCCCCGGTTGCCAAATTCCTCAGATAAGCCTCGAAGCGGGGGAGAGGTGGGCTGGGTGAAGCCAGATCTCTGATCCAGCACAAGGACACTCATCACTGGCTCCGCCTCCAGAAGAGGTGACAAGGCTGATAAGAGGTGGGCGTTCTGCCCCAGAAGCTGGAGGATTGTTCAAGAAGCAGGAATTCAGCAAAAATCTGCGGGAACTGAGGAAAAAATAAAGGGCGGGGGGCGAGCACAGCCACTGACTCAACTGGAGGAGGGGTTGGTGCTCCCCGCACCCCCTCAGCGCTCACACAGAGCCCCGCTCCCCTTTCTCCCTGGCTCTCATGCAAATGATGTCATTAAATACCTGCCTCGCCTCTTCTCGTATGCAAATCAGCCACTAAGATGAACTTAAAGGGTGACAGAAAACGGTGCTGGGTGTGTGGCCCCCACCCGAGATCCTGGACCTGAGACAAGGCTGGATCCAGGGGCGGGGATCCGTATTCCTTTGACTCTCTCCTTCCTTTTCCTTTCCTTTCCTTATAGATTTATAAAATACGACAGCGCTTCTTACCCTTTCGCAAGCTTGAATTGTTTCTACCCCAAGTAAAACATTTTAACTGGCTGTTTGTTGTCGTTTCACCTTAATTGAACCCGAAGGGATCACAGAACCTTTACAACTCCCTGGGCTCCCAGTCTGGGCCGTGACAACAGCTCAGGTACCCCCAGGTACCCCCCAAAGACAGACCCAGGGGGCCGCGCTGCGCCTGGGCCACGGCCGGGCTGTGGAGGGGCTTCTCCTCGCCCCGACACCGAGCCCCGAGCGGAGCCGGGGGCTTACCCTGGAAGGATCCATGTGTCCGGACGTCATGCAGGAGGAACCCGGTGGCGAAGACCAGGAGGATGAGCAGCAGCCGCGACCAGGGGAAGCCCCGACCCTTCATCTTGCGCAGCAGCTCCTGCGCGGGCGAGAGGACCAAGGACGAGGCCCCGTCACGGAGCGGCCGCTCCACCCTCCCACCCCCGGCTTCCCAGTGAGACCAGTGTCACCCACCGGGCAGCTGGGAGGGCGGGCAGGGGCCAGCACCGCCTGCCTGGCGCC